CTGGTAAAAATATAAGCAACTTTAGTTCTCTTCACTTTTTGTCTAGTCTCAACCGAATTTGAGAAACGCATTTGAGGTTGCCAATGTTGTTCGTTTCGTCGGGTTAACTTAAATCAGCACTGTAGATGTACACAATGATTAACGATGCAGACTACTTTTTCAGTAGACAAAGTAAAAAGAGAATTACACACCATTTCTCAATTTGGTTCTAACAGATAAGCGATTACGAAATGCATCGTGGTTTTAAAAAACTGCCGCATATTTCTAACTATTTCCCTCTTTGCAAAAGGGGCGATTAGTTATTAGATACAAGTTTCACATACATGCAACCAATGAACATTTTTTATTGGGGTGGCAATTTGTTGCTAGATACTAAAAGGGGGAAACAGTTAAAAAGATCTAAAATGCCAAATATTGGTCCAAGCTAACATTCTTGATCCAATATTCGGAATTTTTCTTAAGGCTCCGCGCAAGATATGGCCCAATGTTTTCTGTGTTAACTCTGCAGGACAAACTGGAGGTGTCGGTTGACACACCTTTCGGAGTGCATTCGGAGGGAGTCGTGACCACGGGGCTCATCTCGGGGGTTCCCTGTGCTCTAGTGGCCCGGCATGGCCAAAAACACGACATCATGCCCTCAAATGTCAACTACAGAGCCATGTTATACGGTAGACTATATTTTATCGAGATCGAGAGTAAAAAAACCCAGCCGAAGCATTAACCGACCGAAAATGAGCAGAGTATACAAACCAGCCAAACAGTTACGTCATATGAATGATAGGTGTCCAAAATTGATTGATTTCTTTTTCAAAAAAAGAACAAAAAAAAGTTGTTTAAAATTTTTTACCAAAATTGTCATGGCGCAATTTATTTCTTAAATGTAGAACCAAAATTTTACCCCCAAAAATGGGTTACCTTGATTTTGTATAGTTTATTAAGAATTCCGCTAAAACTAACAAGTTATTTGTTGACAAAATGTCAAAAGAAGCTTCTTACACAACCTAACAAAATTAAATTTTTAAACACTTGGGCAAAACGCGTACAATTTGTTTTTTTGGGCTAAGATTTTGAGTTTTATTTAGTAAACTGACATTTTTAAGCTATCATTCAAAAATATATTCTTTTATATGGATTTTTGGTGAGGTTATTCTACTAAAATTTTGTTAAGAGACTTTCTTAAAAAGAAATTTGTCATCAATTAACTTGCTAGTTGTAGCTTAGCTCTCGATAAACTGAAAAAAAACCAAAGTAACCCATTTTTGGTGTACAATTTTGTTTCCGATTGTAGCGAAATAAATTGCAGCATGATATTTTGGTGACAATTTCAGTTTGAATTCAATTAACCAGAAGTTTTTACATTTTCCACATTCATTTTAGAGACGTTTTTCCTGACTGCTGTGAAAAGGAACTGTAGGTAGCATACCTTTCGGTTCGTTACAATTTTTTTTCAACAACTCATGCCCTTTTTGGTCTCTTAAAAAATGATAAAACTTCTTTAGCATTTCATAAAGATAAAATTCATACAAATCAAGAATTTGTTTTTTTTTAAATCTACTGACAAGTTCCAATTTGTTCTTAAAATAGATGGCTTTCATAATCCTTTTCTGTTAAGTGTTATTCTTCCAGATGAGTTTTATATGTAATACCATAAGACAAATCACGTAGAAAAATACTGATCTAGCATCAGATGTATGAAATTGAAGCAATTGAATTTTTGAAAATTACAACCAAGCTATATAAACTTTTTTTCGAGAATCTAGCCAATTTTTTTGGTAAAGGTTGAAATGTGTTTGATAAAAATAATTTGAAGTGACAAATTATGCTTAAATTTGTAATTTTCCAACCCAGACATGGTTTACCGACAAACTATTTTCGCTCAAAGCTTATAAAGTTACTTTTTGCTTTTCGGAGCATTCTGTACCAAATATTGAATAGTGATGTCTGTTCTTTTGGTAGCTTTACATAAAATTAATAAAAACACCGCGAAAACGCGAGAAAAACAAATTATGCAGAAGCAGATGCAAGTCATGACCGAGCGTATTAAAAGCTTTAGTGTGGTCGATTAAACATGTTAATAAAGTTTTGTCATCCGTGAACTTGGTAGTTTTAGCGTACTCCTGATAAACTGAAAAAAGCCAAAATATCCCCTTTTTAGTGTACAATTTTGGTTCCGAGTTTAACAAATTGGACCATGATAGGCCTGGTAAAAATATATAAGCAACTTTAGTTCTCTTCGCTTTTTGTCTAGTCTCAACCCAATTTGAGAAAACGCATTTGAAGTTTCCAATGTTGCTCATTTTGTCGGGTTAACTTAAATCAGCACTGTAGATGTACACTATGATTAACGATGCAAACTACTTTTTCAGTAGACAAAGTATAAAAAAATTACACACCATTTCTCAATTTGGTTCTAACATATAAGCGATTACGAAATGCAAAGTGGTTTTAAGGTGCGAGGAAAAAAGTTCAAAATGAACGTTTTTTTTTTGAAAGTTTTGATTTTTTGAGGTCGAAGTTGATTAAAATCTTCACAAAGGCTATCACAAGACGAAGTGAAAAAATTCGGCTAATAGAACAACGAGAATTCTCGTATCAGGGTAAAACTTTTCAACTTCCGACTCGCTAGAACTGGTTGCAAAGAATATTTTGATAAACTTTAAATTTCGAAACTTGAATGCTCGTCCTCCCCAATATCTAAGATACAATAGTAAGTGCTCTAAAATTCTCCAACTTCAAAGTTTCTGATGTTCAAAGTTCACGAAAATTGTTTCTTGGTTATGTAATTAATGGACACTTTATACGACAGCGACAGCTTATACGAAATAAATCTCTAGAACTAATCAACCAGAACTAAGGTTCCCCCACACAATTCGGGACCTTACTGCTAGTCATCGTAATTGAATATCAATACGTCAAATCACCAAAATTTTTGGCGCTGATTTGCATGATAAAATGAAGCAGTTTGGTGCTAACGATAATTCATAATGGCTGATATGTGTTACTGTTCCGACTTTCAAAGAAAGTGAGGACTATACATACCCGGGTGCTTTTTTTTATTCAGACCGAGTATGCTTGCACTTGACTGAGATGCGGATGGCTCGAATAGTACTTTCATATTTCAATACGCAAATTTTTTATGCGTGGCAAATTATCCGCCCTCAAATGTCAACTACAGAGCCATGTTATACAGTAGACTATATTTTATCGAGATCGAGAGTAAAAAAACCCAGCCGAAGCATTAACCGACCGAAAATGAGCAGAGTATACAAACCAGCCAAACAGTTACGTCATATGAATGATAGGTGTCCAAAATTGATTGATTTCTTTTTCAAAAAAAGAACAAAAAAAAGTTGTTTAAAATTTTTTACCAAAATTGTCATGGCGCAATTTATTTCTTAAATGTAGAACCAAAATTTTACCCCCAAAAATGGGTTACCTTGATTTTGTATAGTTTATTAAGAATTCCGCTAAAACTAACAAGTTATTTGTTGACAAAATGTCAAAAGAAGCTTCTTACACAACCTAACAAAATTAAATTTTTAAACACTTGGGCAAAACGCGTACAATTTTAGAGACTTTTTTCCTGACTGCTGTGAAAAGGAACTGTAGGTAGCATACCTTTCGGTTCGTTACAATTTTTTTTCAACAACTCATGCCCTTTTTGGTGTCTTAAAAATGATAAAACTTCTTTAGCATTTCATAAAGATAAAATTCATACAAATCAAGAATTTGTTTTTTTTTTTAATCTACTGACAAGTTCCAATTTGTTCTTAAAATAGATGGCTTTCATAATCCTTTTCTGTTAAGTGTTTTTCTTCCAGATGAGTTTCATATGTAATACCATCAGACAAATCACGTAGAAAAATTTTGATCTAGCATCAGATGTATGAAATTGAAGCAATTGAATTTTTGGAAACTACAACCAAGCTATAAGAACTTTTTTCGAGAATCTAGCCAATTTTTTTGGTAAAGGTTGAAATGTGCTTGATAAAAAATAGGTTGAAGTCACAAATTTTGCTTAAATTTTTAATTTTTTAACCCAGACATGTTTACCAACAAACTTTTTTCGCTCAAAGCTTATAAAGTTACTTTTTGCTTTTCGGAGCATTCCGTACCAAATAATATATAGTGATGTCTGTTCTTTTGGTAGCTTAACATAAAATTAATAAAAACACAGCGAAAACCAAATTATGCAGAAGCAGATGCAAGTCATGACCGAGTGTATTAAAAGGTTTAGTGTGGTCGATTAAACATGTTAGTAAAGTTCTGTCATCCGTGAACTTGGTAGTTTTAGCGTACTCCTGATAAACTGAAAAAAGCCAAAATATCCCGTTTTCAATGTACAATTTTGGTTCCGAGTTTAACGAATTGCACCATGATAGGCCTGGTAAAAATATAAGCAACTTTAGTTCTCTTCACTTTTTGTCTAGTCTCAACCGAATTTGAGAAACGCATTTGAGGTTGCCAATGTTGTTCGTTTCGTCGGGTTAACTTAAATCAGCACTGTAGATGTACACAATGATTAACGATGCAGACTACTTTTTCAGTAGACAAAGTAAAAAGAGAATTACACACCATTTCTCAATTTGGTTCTAACAGATAAGCGATTACGAAATGCATCGTGGTTTTAAAAAACTGCCGCATATTTCTAACTATTTCCCTTTTTGCAAAAGGGGCGATTAGTTATTAGATACAAGTTTCACATACATGCAACCAATGAACATTTTTTATTGGGGTGGCAATTTGTTGCTAGATACTAAAAGGGGGAAACAGTTAAAAAGATCTAAAATGCCAAATATTGGTCCAAGCTAACATTCTTGATCCAATATTCGGAATTTTTCTTAAGGCTCCGCGCAAGATATGGCCCAATGTTTTCTGTGTTAACTCTGCAGGACAAACTGGAGGTGTCGGTTGACACACCTTTCGGAGTGCATTCGGAGGGAGTCGTGACCACGGGGCTCATCTCGGGGGTTCCCTGTGCTCTAGTGGCCCGGCATGGCCAAAAACACGACATCATGCCCTCAAATGTCAACTACAGAGCCATGTTATACGGTAGACTATATTTTATCGAGATCGAGAGTAAAAAAACCCAGCCGAAGCATTAACCGACCGAAAATGAGCAGAGTATACAAACCAGCCAAACAGTTACGTCATATGAATGATAGGTGTCCAAAATTGATTGATTTCTTTTTCAAAAAAAGAACAAAAAAAAGTTGTTTAAAATTTTTTACCAAAATTGTCATGGCGCAATTTATTTCTTAAATGTAGAACCAAAATTTTACCCCCAAAAATGGGTTACCTTGATTTTGTATAGTTTATTAAGAATTCCGCTAAAACTAACAAGTTATTTGTTGACAAAATGTCAAAAGAAGCTTCTTACACAACCTAACAAAATTAAATTTTTAAACACTTGGGCAAAACGCGTACAATTTGTTTTTTTGGGCTAAGATTTTGAGTTTTATTTAGTAAACTGACATTTTTAAGCTATCATTCAAAAATATATTCTTTTATATGGATTTTTGGTGAGGTTATTCTACTAAAATTTTGTTAAGAGACTTTCTTAAAAAGAAATTTGTCATCAATTAACTTGCTAGTTGTAGCTTAGCTCTCGATAAACTGAAAAAAAACCAAAGTAACCCATTTTTGGTGTACAATTTTGTTTCCGATTGTAGCGAAATAAATTGCAGCATGATATTTTGGTGACAATTTCAGTTTGAATTCAATTAACCAGAAGTTTTTACATTTTCCACATTCATTTTAGAGACGTTTTTCCTGACTGCTGTGAAAAGGAACTGTAGGTAGCATACCTTTCGGTTCGTTACAATTTTTTTTCAACAACTCATGCCCTTTTTGGTCTCTTAAAAAATGATAAAACTTCTTTAGCATTTCATAAAGATAAAATTCATACAAATCAAGAATTTGTTTTTTTTTAAATCTACTGACAAGTTCCAATTTGTTCTTAAAATAGATGGCTTTCATAATCCTTTTCTGTTAAGTGTTATTCTTCCAGATGAGTTTTATATGTAATACCATAAGACAAATCACGTAGAAAAATACTGATCTAGCATCAGATGTATGAAATTGAAGCAATTGAAAATTGATGTATGAAATTGAAGCAAAATTACAACCAAGCTATATAAACTTTTTTTCGAGAATCTAGCCAATTTTTTTGGTAAAGGTTGAAATGTGTTTGATAAAAATAATTTGAAGTGACAAATTATGCTTAAATTTGTAATTTTCCAACCCAGACATGGTTTACCGACAAACTATTTCGCTCAAAGCTTATAAAGTTACTTTTTGCTTTTCGGAGCATTCTGTACCAAATATTGAATAGTGATGTCTGTTCTTTTGGTAGCTTTACATAAAATTAATAAAAACACCGCGAAAACGCGAGAAAAACAAATTATGCAGAAGCAGATGCAAGTCATGACCGAGCGTATTAAAAGCTTTAGTGTGGTCGATTAAACATGTTAATAAAGTTTTGTCATCCGTGAACTTGGTAGTTTTAGCGTACTCCTGATAAACTGAAAAAAGCCAAAATATCCCCTTTTTAGTGTACAATTTTGGTTCCGAGTTTAACAAATTGGACCATGATAGGCCTGGTAAAAATATATAAGCAACTTTAGTTCTCTTCACTTTTTGTCTAGTCTCAACGCAATTTGACAAAAACGCATTTGAAGTTTCCAATGTTGCTCGTTTTGTTGGGTTAACTTAAATCAGCACTGTAGATGTACACTATGATTAACGATGCAGACTACTTTTTCAGTAGACAAAGTATAAAAAAATTACACACCATTTCTCAATTTGGTTCTAACATAAGCGATTACGAAATGCATCGTGGTTTTAAGGAAAGTGCCGCATCTTTTTAACTATTTCCCTCTTTGCAAAAGGCGCAATTAGTTTATATGGTGCAAACTTCGCATACATGCAACCACTGAACATTTTTTATCGGGTGGCAATTCGTTGCTAGATACCAAGAGGGGGAAACAGTTAAAAATATCTAAAATGCCAAATATTGGTCCAAGCTAACATTCTTGATCCAATATTCGGAATTTTTCTTAAGGCTCCGCGCAAGATTTGGCCCAATGTTTTCTGTGTTAACTCTGCAGGACAAATTGGAGGTGTCGGTTGACACCCCTTTCGGAGTGCACTCGGAGGGAGTCGTGACCACGGGGCTCATCTCGGGGGTTCCCTGTGCTCTAGTGGCCCGTCATGGCCAAAAACACGACATCATGCCCTCAAATGTCAACTACAGAGCAATGTTATACGGTAGACTATATTTTATCGAGATCGAGAGTAAAAAATCCAGCCGAAGCATTAACCAACCGAAAATGCGCAGAGTATATAAGCCAGCCGAAAAATTGTCATGAATGAAGTTTGCATGAAATTCGAAGCTGGTACACAATTTTTACATAACTATTATATATCAATTGCATATTTTCGACAGATTTATATAACACCGTTTTATCAGGTTTCTGACCTCTTCATGGTGTCTAGTTTATCAATATTAAAGGCATACTTGGCGTTTGAAGGCTGCTTGAGCCGATAAATTTCGCAAGCGACAATTCGTAGCCTTACAAAATTGTACCCTGTTGAAACTTGCCATGGTTATCAAAAACGCGGTTAATCATCTTGAACTTCAAAACATTTTAATTTTTTTTTGGTGAATGATGTTCAAGAAATCTGATTTATGAGTTCAGGTTTTCCAGATGGTTATTTTGATTTCTTGGTCGACCAATTTCGTTAACCAAGATCTCCTAAAAGATTATAAAAACATTTTCTTGCGCTGCAGGTGGAAAAACAGGTCTAAAAAAATGTTGAGTACTTTTTTGGAGCTTTTTGTTTGCCGGTCCCCCAAAAGTTTAATGTTTACTGGTGTCGAAAGAGTCTTTAGAAACTTTTTTTGGATGCTCTACCAAAAATGGATGATGTCCAATAATGGTAAACAGGGGGCTTTGGGTGATCTGGGAGTCCAGTCCAAAACATACTCCTTAGAAACTTTTTTTGGATGCTCTACCAAAAATGGAGGATGTCCTATAATGGTAAACAGGGGGATTTGGGTGATCTGGGAGTCCAGTCCATATCCCTAAGAAAGACGTGAGACATGAAATGGGACCTCCCTAAATCCGCCCCTGATTTTTTTTCGATTTTTTCGATTTTTTCCGCTTTTTTGAGATTCCAGTCGGTCCATTTTTCTGGTACATGCTTTTTAGCTTTTTGGCATTTTCGCTTTTTGTGACCCAATGTATGTTTACACATCAGCACAAGGGTTTGAACTAAACGTAACTTTTAAATCTTAAGACGTGTTGTCGAAAAAAACCTATTTTGGAGGTTCTGGGTTGTCTCAAAACAAGAATTATCGTTCCGACCATCCCAAGTCAATTTTGCCAACCTCAAAGAAAAAAGACAGGGGTTCAAGTAGGGTAACGCTGTAAACTCCTATGGGTTGTCATTCGGACTTGCACAGAATTAAAAAATTTGTCTCAATTTTGAGAAAAAAACTGGTATGAACATTTTTGGTTTTTAGAATAAATTAGACAATTTGAAGAACGGCCGTCCTCCAAATTTTATTTTACTTACATTGTTTACGTTATTTTAGTTTACCTTATTATTTTTTTTTCTAATTTTTTCTTAATAACACGTTTTTCGCTTAATTTTCAGAAAAAAAGCAGATTAAACTAAAAATTGTTAATAAAAGTGCTTATTCTTGAAAAATTTTGAGATTACTGAAAAGTAGGAATAATTTTGCTGTTTCTTATAGTTGTTTCTTTGACTTGCATAGTTTCGCAGAATATGTTAAATTCATCTTCACCTATTTGTATTCGCAGAAATGAAAACAATTAGTGTGAGTTTTCGTGTTGTTATAAGAAGGACAGGGTCATCATAGTGCCTTCAATTTTTCAGAGCAACATTTGAGAAGATTTATTATCTTGCTTTTGGGCGGAGTAGCGGGATCGGAAATGATAGGTGTCCAAATGTGATTGATTTCCTTTTCAGCTTTGAAAAAGGTGGGATGCTCGCACGTGATCGCCACTACAGCCTGTGGATCTCTGAGAGAGCAGCTGAAGCCAGGACACGTCGTGCTGATTGATGACTTCATAGACAGGACCTCAAAAAGAAAAGCTACTCTGTATGATGGAACAACCTCAGACGAGGCACTGATTTAAACAATCCGCACTTTCCAATTTTTCATTTCATTTGAAAAAGCCAAACTTTTGCTGCAGTTTCGACCTTGATCTATGCCAAACCAGGTCTCAAAACCCTGATACATATAACGCATATCAATCAAATCAATTATACTTGTGAAGTAGAAGTTTGTTAGTTTGAATGTATTTCGGATGTCATTTTTGTGTCTTTGATAGACGAAAGGCGTCTTGCATTTGCCCATGGACAACATATTCAACCAGCGCCTCCGAGGACTCCTTGGAGAGACTTGCGAAGAATTGGGATTTGAGTACCACCAAGGAGGCACCATGGTAACAATAGAGGGTCCAAGGTTTTCCACCAAGGCGGAGAGCAGAATGTTCCGACTATGGGGAGCAGATTTGGTCAACATGTCAACAGTTCCTGAAGTTAGTTGCTTTCAGAATACCGTCTTTCATTGGAAATATTTGCCCTTTTGAACTATACGTCCGAACCATCAAAGAAAAAATCGTCATTTGGTTCAAATTAGGCTTAATGAAGTCCAGTGTTCAGAAAAAAAAAGATCGTTTTTTGGTTAATGTGCAGAAATTATTGATTTGAATGGTAGGAAAATTCTGCATTCTGTTTTTCTTCAGTAAAAATCGCAAATTTTCCATCAATTTTAAATTGTCTAAATTGTTTATTCAAACTCATATATAATTTTGAATACTGCAAACGCGACAAAAAATTTCTGCTACTAATGCGAGTAACAGATTGGAATTCGGTTCATATATTGTTGGCTTAAACTCAGAGTTTTTCATCTAAATTTGGTAGGATTTTTGTTTTAAATTTTGTCTTCTAAATTTGAAAAAGAAACTTCTTTACGCCGATAAAACACTGTCGTTTTAGTTAAGCATTTTCTCTTTGAATAGTTTTTTGATTAATCCTAAAAATTTCACGGCAGCTCAGACAAATTTGACAAAATACGGTGGTTTTTGGCGCTAAAGGTCAGTTTAAAAAGTTAGCGGTTACATTTTTTGTTTGATTTTTGTTTGGTGCGAATCTAATATGTTTACGTTTTCCGTTTTATCAGGTGGTGATTGCGAATGAGTTGGGACTTCTGTACTGCAGTGTTGCCATGGTAACGGACTACGACTGTTGGCGGGAAAATGAGGCCCCGCCCAGTGTAGGGGATATTCTGAACACATTCAAGAGCAACGCCCACAAAGCTATCGAGCTGATCAAGGCAGTCGTTCCGAAAATAGCCGCCGCAGACTGGGCTGAAGAGAAAGAAAGTTTAAAACAGAAAGTGAAAGACAATATAATTTGACAAGAACTTAAGATACCTTTTTCTTACCCCAGCTCAATAATAATCGTGCTGTTATTTAATTGAATGGTTTGAAAATTTGTAAGCGAATTGTTCAAAACTGCCTGATAAAGATGATTTTGGAAAATTAATTTGATCAAGTTTACAAGAAAAAAATGGAAACTGGAGATGTCAAACACAGATACCGCCTTAACTCATCTTTAATTGCCTGTAGAACTATATTTACAGGCAGTAGCGGATTTAAGGCGGATTTAAGTTTTTTTCTTCCCCTCAGGGATTCGATCCCCTGTCGACCCAAAGGGTCTCCCTTTGTACACTTTTGAGAATTCATTTTCAAACTTGAAAAATGCTTGTCATACAATTCCATACAACGAAATGCTTATCATATTATTCAAACTACAGACAGAATGTAGGAGAAAGTGCCTATCATACATTTTACATTACGAAAATATTAGGAAACTTTTTTTAATGGCTTCAAAAATTTGGTCCAAAAAGTAAAAATTCCAAAACTCAGTGAAAATTTTCTAAAGTCGCGGTATCAATTTAATTCTTAGAAAACAACTTGCATGCATATTTGTTTTTAACGTAGTCCAGGTTGAAATTTTCAAGCAAATGGAACAAAGCGAAAAAAAAAATTAAAAAAATCCCTGAAGTCCCTCGTTACACCAAAAAACTAAGATATATATCAGGTAGTAGAAGGAAAAAGAGCGAAAGTTTCATGTTTTGCTGTATGTTTGGAAACATATGGATAAATGTATAGCCCAAAAGTTTTTGTTCACGGAATTTGTATGGTTAGATGTTCCGACCAACCCAGATGTGGGAGGAGACTGGGGTTTGAAAATCGGAAAAGAGCTCTATATATTTTTTCAAATAATCCCCACCTGCGATTTTGTAGTTGTAATTTTTCTGTTTTAAACGACCGAGCATTGGAACAATTGGCATGCGAATTATATAGGCTGTCACAAAAAAAATTTGGTCTTCGTACTTAACCTTATAAGCCTCCTCGTAACGCCATAAAATTGAGAAGGGTTTTCTCCGTTTTTCGCAACTTTTCAACTTCAGTTTTGAAAAACTTGTATAATGGCTTTTTTAAAATTTCCCTATCTTTCATTTTCTCGTTTTTAAAACTATTTTAACGTTAAATGACGCAACGAGTTGTATCATTGCGAACAATTTTATAATTCTAAACAGATTTGTTTTTCATACCTTACAGCGTAACAGCACGCATGTAGCCATCTTATCACGTAAAAAACCTGGAAAAAAAAGAAAATTGAAAAGACGGGGGAGCGTTATAATGTCATTTGAACAAACTTTTCATTCTTATTTACATCGTAACATCACGCAATCGGCCATAATAACAAGTTAGACAACTGAAAAAAGAGTAACTTTTAAAAAGTTGGGAGAAGAAATGGAAAAGAGCCGGAAAAAGAACCGTAAATTTAGCAGGTAGGGAGGAAAAAGTTGAAAATTACGACTAATTTTCCTTCCCCACACCTGCTAATTGGGGAGTAGTTATCTTGATCTGCTGAAAAAATTGACCTTTACCACTGAAAATTTAGAAAATGGGGGGTTGGTTGAAGGAAATGGAGATTAAAAGCCAATAACAGCGAGTCAGTTAAAATAATTTTTGGCCCTTACTACCTCACTTACAAGCCATTTCTTCTTGTACATAATCATTAGTTTTACAATTTAATCATTGTTTTCACGAATATGCAGATGAAAAACATGTTCGTAATTGCGTTATGTAGCCACATGACTTTTTTTTACAACTAGACGACGTGCACAAAATCCAAAGGACATGTTGGCTCTTTTTCCTTCCCCCCCCCCCCCCCCCCCCCCCCAACCCCCCCCCCCCCCCCACCTCACTCCAGTTTCAACTTATTAGTGTAACGAGTGATTTTACGAGGTTGAGTATGAAGACCAAATATGTTTGTCGTGGCCTTATTGGTCTGTATGTAAATTTTCATAACAATCGGACCATTTGGTCAACAAATTTACATGTAAAAATATGCAGGTGGGGGGGGGGGGGGGAAAGGAAAAAGAGCCAACAGTTTTAAATGAAAAAAGAGATTACTTCCAAATCAATTGTGGCGTTCAATATAGTCCGCTTTTTCTTCTTCAAGGTGTGAAGTAGATACTCTTGACTCATATGTAACTCTTCTTCAAGTTTGTTCAAGCGTCTTTTGCTCATTTATGCGGTGAAAACTTAATTGAAATTTTTAAATTTCACTCATCCAGTTTATTTGCAACATTGAAAAAATTTTAACAAGTATCTTAAAACTTATTTGTCCTAACTTCGCTATACCCAAAATGGTAAGATTCCTGAAATTTTGTTGAGCGTTCAAAAACTTCAGTTTCATAGATAAACTTACATTACATCCTAGAAATCCACTTATCCAGGGAAGAATTTTAAACATCGATTCAAGGTTTCATTATTCTTTGTTTTTATGTTTGAATGCATTGTTTAGAATACGCTCTTTGTTGCCATCGGAGTCCTGTGTGTTGTGGCTTCCATTCTTCAAACCGGAGAATGCAGAGAAGTCGAAGAAAGGGGGGAATTCCTGAAAAAACTGATGGCTCTCGATGCTCGACAGAAACTGGACACTCGACAGAGGATGGGCGGATATGAGGTGAAAACTGAAGAAGCGGAAAGATGCGGCGGACATAAAAGTGGTTCTTTTCGATGTGGGAACCACCCATCTAAGGGAAAATAAAAGTTCATTGTGTGAACTAAGGCTGAATTAAAATACCTCATAAACGTCTCTAAATTCACTACCATTTTGTCGTATGCTTGGGACATCTATGGTTATACAAAAACATTATACTAAAGCAACAAAAATGGTTTAATAACCACCTGCCGCCGAGGTGCTCCCTTTATGAAGTGCTGGCTCTACGACAAGGTTACTCTCGGCAGGCGTATAGGTCGAGCGTAAGCTTACTCACGACACCACGGTAAAATTGCATTAATTTCCATCACAGCTGATTAAAAATGAACTTGATTAACTGCGATTTGAATGTCGACCTAATTTGATGCCAAAATTGGAGCAATTGAGACTCAAAAAAATGGTAAAATAATAATCAATCAATCCCCGCAATAATTTTCGAAAAAAAAACCAAATATAACGGGTTTTCGTTGAATTAAAATATTGTCTAATTAATAAAAGAATTTAAGTTTATGATCGGTACCGCGACAACTCGCAAAATTTAAGGAAAGCAAAATTTAAGGAAAGCGACAACTCGCAAATTTTTGAAGCTAATTGGAAATTTTATATTCTCGGTTTAAGGTAGCCGGTTCAGGTTTCTTTTCCCTTCTTCACATGCAAAATATGATAAATGAGAAATTTTGGCTTTTCTCACCTTCTCCCCACATTTCGAGTTCTCCAGCTTAAAGCGTGATCTTACGATGGCTCTTTTCCAGTTCCCCCTTTCAGAATATCGAGTTTTATGTTTGTTTTACGTGTTGTTACGCTGTAAAGTATGAAGAACAAATCTGTTCAGAATTGTCGCTTTGTTCACAACGCCTGATGTTACGCTGTATAAAGTATGAAGAACAAATCTGTTCAGAATTGTCGATTTGTTCACCACGCCAAATTTCATTGCATTATGACAACGTTAAATAGACTTTCCAAAATTGAATTTGAAAGGGGGGAACTGGAAAAGAGCCCTTACGATATAAGAAATTTGTTCACGATAGTTCATTTGTTTATCATGCCAAATTTCATTGCATCGTGACAAGAAATGTTTTTTTTTTCAAACAATGATTTTCAAAAGGGGGTGTCTCTATCGGTATGATCACTGATACGGTATTCTGGCAATGATAAAAACTGGATTATAGTGGGTTTTCCAGATAATCGTTGTTGAGATAATCGCTTTAGAACACATAATGGAATAAAACTTGAGTTAGGTCCGATGTGTTTAACTCATAGAGTAATTTCGGATAGGGTACACCGTCTGCTCGTCACGCTATCTTATTTTCGGCCGGATAGATTCGTGCAACTTCTTAGTCTAATACCGATCCTAATCTTACTCTTATACTTTCTAGTCTCAGGGTGTTTAACTAGTCTCTGCTAGGCTCAATAGATCTAGGGTATACTGGTTTGTTGCGGCTGCTGAAGTTCTCTTCGAGAGACAACTAATTTTAACTTAAATTCAAATCTTTCTGGTGCTGAAATTACAAGTAATTTCAGCACTTACAAATAAGTGGGTTGTTAGTTAGATGGATCATGATTGGTTAATATTAAATACTTTACAGTGGTAAAATATCTAATTTATCCAATCATAAAATATAGTTTAGATCAGGTTCCACCTATCCGGGTTTTACAGAGTTTTTTAGAATTATCTTCCTGCAATTCAAAGGATGGACGATGAACGTTGGTATTTGACGAGCATCGTATTCTTGTCCGGTTCCTCTGGTTAGAGACGTTCCAGGACGCTGGAGTTAGGGGCATCAATCGTTGTGTCTTCTTGTGACAACGACTGTGTTTCCCAACGAAATCAATCTGATTTCAAAATGGTTTGCTATGACGGGTTTTTCTGTATTATGCAGAGAACTTGTCTGGGAATGGCGTGGAGATTGTGCGTGGAGGGGATGCCTTGTAACTCGGATCTGATGGTATACTTGAACATCGAGGTGGTCATTGGTCTAGTTCAATGAAGTCCTTTTCTGCGAAGTCAAGTCGTACTCTAAATCCTTTGAGTTGTGATTGAGGACGGCATATCGGTTGTGGTTAGCCATTCTTGTTCGAGTGTAGTGGGGTCATTTTGTCTTTGGATGTTCGTCTTTGTTGTTGTGTGCTGATCTATATACTGCAAGGTATGATTTACTTTTTATAAAATTTTTATTAGTTCAGTTTTTTAATTATGGATTTATTAGTTGTTTTCACAAAAGCATTTTGTTTTAGTACGGTTATTTTGAAGAGTTACTCATCCTTGAGTACCTCTTATTAAAATAGAAGTGTGGTCACAAAGCGTGGATGTAGCGCGGTGGCTTAGGCCGGCTATAGAGCATGCTCAGGACGTCCTCTCTGGTGGGTTAGGCCAGGAGTGGGAGTATGATTTCGTGCTGTTTCTTTGAGAAGTCCTGTTATGTGATAACGTTT